AGGTTAGAACAAATCAGAGCCAGTCATCACGCTTCACTGAGAAAACAGCTGAAAGAGAGAATTAGAGACCTCGAATGTGAACTGGACAGGATTAAAAATACACAACAAGATGGTATTTTTCAAAGAGAATCGACACAGGCAGAAGTGGAAAAGTACAAAGAGCTGTACCTGGAGGAAGTAAAAATGAGGAGCTGCCTAGCAAATAAACTGGAAAGGTAAGTCCATGCTTTTTTGCAGCTGTAATAATATATTACTTTTTACTCATGCATTTTCCTCCTAAAATCCCTCTTCTACATCTGGTCAGCATGACATATGTAAGCATAAAATGGCGTATTTGTGAGGAAAGTACCTTAAGACCCTTCTGCTTTGTTAGAACTGTCTTCGTTTCTCTTTAGTGTTCCAGCAGTAACACCACTGATCATAGCATTAACAGGGTATTGTTTAAGTTGATGGTGTTTTAACAGACAGCCTTTTTGCCCATCTCTAGTAATCTCCTCCTCTCATCCTGCCTATGGCAGAAATGGTAAATTTCACATCCTCTTCTGCTGGAATAAGGATAGGCCCTTCAGAGAACAGAATTTGATTCTGTGACACAAAAAAATAAATCTCTTTTGGCTTCCATTTTAGTAGTGTGTCTGAGGTTTGAGCTTTCTGTGGGAAAGGGAGGGTAGCCCAGAGTTCTTACGCAGGTGACGTACCCTTCAGAAGCAGCTATGTAAACACATTGCATCCGCAGCTTGCTTTGAAGCCCTAATGCTGAGAAGTCCTAAGTGTGGGTAACTCTTGCTCCTCTTTGCAGGTAGTGTGACTTCTTAGAAACAGGCTCTCCAAAAAACCTCAGGTCAATGATGTTCTTCTTTTGGATGCTCATTATCCCTTCCACTTTCAGAAGCTGAATAATAGTCAAAGACCTGGAGATTCACTTTGTGACAGCGTTACTACTGAAGATAATTCTTTGTCTGCTTCTGAATGTTTCAGAGCTAATGAGAGACTAGCAGAAGCACACCCTTAGCTCCTTCAAGAGCACCACAGAAGCAAATCCTTCATCGCAAGCAGCGTTGTCAGTGGAGGTCTGGCTGCAAGTCCAGTTCTGTATTCAGCTGAACTGGGACATCTTGGCAACAATTTGACACTGAACAGAAGTCTCAGTCTAGGATGAAGCTTCCTAAGCTCAGCTGGGAATGCCCCGTCATCAGGAAACAGGGTTGAAGCCTACGTGGCTAAGGTAAGCATTTGGAAATACTGTTCTCAACTACTGCTAAAGGGTATCCATAAGCAGGGTGATGCTTTTTAGCCTGAAGTTCGAATCCATGCATAGTTCCAAACCATACAGTCTGATATGCCAAAACAGTACGCAACTGTATGTGGTAGGGGTGAAGAATTTTGGTCATCAGGATTGTACACATTTCCAGGAGTGCTCAAAGACCAAAAAATGCTGACATCTAAATAATGAACTGTGTAACTACGCTGTTTTACAAGAGAAACTGTGATCAAGAATACTGTGGCATAGGAAGTTCCCAGCTAATCTCTTCATTAAAATTTAGTGTATCGTATGTATGACTTCTTTAAAATGGTTGACTTTATGATGAGTACAAAATCCCATCAGACATTTTGGTTTGAGACACCTTTTCCTGCTTCACTGATCCTCCTTCTAGCAGCTTCTTCGCTGGAACTTGTTTTAGTACGTTAATACCAACAAAGGGATGCTTCAAAAAGGGGACGATATGAACAGGATCGCGTAACTTCTCACTTTAGACTTCAGTGCAGCACATATACTATGCGTAGGAGGCATTTGTTTTTGTCGTTCCTGCTATGTGTTATTACATGAAAAGGTAAAGTTAACTACTCCTCAGGAAGTCTTCACAGCTTTCTAATTTTCACAGCAACCTCTGCAATACATCTGGTCAAAGTATGCACTGTAATTAGTCATCAGCGTGGTGGCACATCCCTCACAGAATGGTGAACGTTATAACATCATATCATGAGATTTGGAAACCAGATGTCAATAGCTGTAATCAAATTCCCGCCTAGCATAGGACTGTGGCATGGACAAGCTTCTCTATTCAGTCGGCGTTCTCATCCCTCGCATATTCTGTTGTTGAATGAAGGCGAGAAGGTGAGATGTATTTGCTTACTTGCAAAATGTGGTCCCCCCCACATTGGAAAGAACCCATGTAAACCACGTGTCCATGTACTGCACTGTGTTTAAGAGAAAAACAAACCAACAAAACCAAAAGGGACAAAGCAGCGTAGGTGATGCGTAGCAGCGGCAGTGACAGAGATGAACTTTTCTGTGTCCCTGTGAATGTGTTTTTTCAGGTCAGAGGAGTGGACATTACAGAAAGAACTCGGGAGGCAATTAGCACTGTACCATCTGCAGGGGCTGTTCTGCAGGGAAGCAGTAGAAAAGAGGCAAAATTCAGGGACCCACAGCAAAAATGGAATAAGGAGAAGGCAGGGACAAGGGCACAGAAAGGGCAGGGAGCAGGCAACAAGTGAGGAAAAGAAAGAACAGAGAGAGATGGGAGTAAGATGTTAAAAGAAGAAAAAGACACAGGAGGAAACCAACCCACTTCTAGGAAAAAAGCTGCCCGAGTTTAAAACAAAAGGGTTAACAGTTGTGCCATTTTGAAGAAGAAATGTGAAAAAAAAACCCACAGTGAAGGGGAAGAAAGTGGGAGTACTCGGTGCTTCTTAACTGCTTTACAGCAACATTCTTGAGGTAGTCCTTTCCATTTTAATTTTCCAGAACTGGAACTCCCTGGGCATCTCAAAGTTTTGTCAATATCAAGATACCTTTCCTGGTTTACTAGCTTCACTTACGTATGTTACAGAAAGGAAATATTTTAAAAGGCTATTTCATAGCCTGTTGGTTTTGACCCAGTTGCTAATATATGCAGAGATATATCTATTTCAAATCATTATAGAGGTGGCTTCACCGTTTTGTGAAAAAATGGTTCCCAAATCTGTGTATGAAAAACATCTGTGCTGATTCCAAGAAAAGTGTGCATGAGATCCAAGAACAGTGATGCTGTTCTCACTCAGCGTCCTGACTTCAGCTGCACTCAAAGTTTCTTTTCAGAGCATGTGTCTTACATGTCGTGATGGATTGCGATGCTGGGGAATGCTTTTAGGTTTTGATACTGTTTTGTGAGGCTTCACTTTGAGGGTTCAAAGAAACAGAACCAAAAAGTACCCATCAGCCTTGGGCAGACTCCCAAGGAAACTGAAGAACCATTATGTATGCCATTTCCCCAGTCTCCAAGTATAGATGTCAGATACTGGCTTTTCTTTTTTAGTTTGGGGGCTTTCTTATATACCCGTATTTCTCCTTCCTAGTGCAGTTCTGTCAGTAGAACTTAGTCCCCTGAAGTTCTCTCTCATCTTGTTTACAACCTACAGAGACTCTTAGTTTGTTGTTAACAGAGGAGCTGAGGATAATTGCCTCTTGCTACACACAGTTTGTCTTCACAGGATTAGCTTCTAGCCTGAATCACTGTTTTCTCCATAATTGGAATCTGAGCCTGAACTGCTATTTGGAAATTTTCTTGAAGTGTAAGATGAACAAGCATCGGTCACAGCTGAACACCATCTAGTATTTAAGCAAAACCCCACGGTGCTTGGACTTCCTGCAGAGAGGGGAATTTAAATCACCGTAATTTGCATGACAGCTTGCCAGGAAGAAGACATAAGATGTCCAAGTTCATGTATTTATTAATATTTTTTTCTCACTGCCTCGCTCTTCAAAATTTTTCCTGCCACACTGTTCTGGGTGGTTGTCACATAAGACATGCCACCAGCAGAGACTTTATATGACTGCCTGCCGCCTTGCCCTGGGACTCCCCAGTTTCTGCGGCAGGAGTAGCCTGGCCTTCCCTCTTGAAGGTGGTGGACTTTCATTTTGCTCCATTTTGCTATTGTTTCAAAGCACCTGGTGCTGCAGGGCATCGCGCAGACCCTGTGATCCCAGCCCCTGCTTCCTTGTAGCCTTGGTGGGCAGCCTTAGGAGCTGTGGCTGAGGGCCGGCTTGGAGCGGGCAGGACTAGACCTGATTCCTCACTTCTGTCCTAGCCTCCCTGGGGGACACTGGCAGCTCCCCAGAGAGACCCAGTTCTTGTTTGGGGATTTTTTTTCCTTTCGTGTTTTCCAGCAGGACATGGCCACACTGGGAGCAGACTTTGATTTGCCCTGTGCTAGATTGTGCACATGAGCAGAAAAATGATGGTATGAGAGGTCTTTCCTTTGCTATTGAAGGAGCTTACCAAAGAAAAAAAAAACAAACCCAAAAACGACAACAAAGAAAAAATAACAAAAACAGATTGCCATCTGTGTTTGAGCCACCTAAACCATGCAAACCACAAACAGCCTGTGACAGGTCTAATTAGGCTGGGGTCCCAGGAGCACACACCCACCTCAGCCTACAAAAAGCCCAAAGCTCAATCGTGGGTGCAAAGAGCAAACACTGCGTGTGGTGGTGTGACTGCTGGCTGAAATCCCTGCAGCGACTGTCCTGGTGAGTCCCCTCCTCTGCTATTTATGTCTGTCTATCCCACGTGCAGCCTCCATGGAAAGGAAACCCAATTACAAATTGCCTTTTTTTAAAAAAAAAAAGCTCATTTGCCATTGAACTCACACAGTTAAAATGATCTTTTTGATTGCAATGTAAGGTAGGTCTGACGGCTAAACCAAAATAACATAAAAAAAGCCCACTGGGGACACGCAGCTCTGCACCCTTCAGCAGGTGCTGCAGTGATGTTTTGGAAATGGGTACTGCGGAGAAATCAGTAGTGCTGAGTGCCTGCCCCTGGCCATGGTCACCACTGTTATATGTGGCAGGTCTCAGCCTCGATAGCCAAATTTTGTGAGTTTCTGAAGCGAGGAGTCGCAGCAGGTGGAGCGTGGCAGGTCTGACATCGCCACATAGCTGGGAAGGATGTCACGCATTGAGCACAATGATTGCTGAGACTGCATTTTTCTCCCCAAAATAAGCAAAAAAGGTTCAAATTAATTTTAACTAATAAGCAGCCCATCCTCATCTCAAGGGATTGTCTGTTGCTTGTCAACTTTTAGTGTACTGTGAAGCTCATTGTAGAAAAACATCAGGTGGTGGCTAGAACATCTGAAAGCTCATTGTATCTAACCCCACATTATTGTTGTTATTATCAGTATAACCCATAACAAGTGCAGCGGTAGCGACAAAGCACGACCCCAGCACAAGGCGGTCACTGTGGCCAGCGCGTTGGCTCGGATGGTAGGAATCCAGCTCGGCTGTCGGCTCTCCCCCTGTGTATCGCGATGTGCGCCAGCCTGCCTGTGACGAGGGGGCCGGGGTGGGTGCACCCTTGCTGCTTGCACCTGGCGCGGTCCGTCACCCCTCCAGCCTCCCGCTGCACCCACACTGCTGCCTGGGCTGGAGCCAGATGGGGACAGGGATGGGGGTGGGGACGCGGACAAAGAAATCCACCTGTGGGGCTGTCACTGGCTGAGACTTTGCTATATGGAACCACAGCTGGGAGAGGAGCATTTTCCAGTTGTTTCAGCAGACCTGTCTGACATCATTTGTATAAGCAAGGCTATGGTTGGTCTTAATTTCTACATCTTAGTATTTACAGGTGGTATATCTGATTTAGGGGTATTGTACAGGTGGTTTCTTTCCATCTGCTTGCATATTTTTGCTGGCATAAATTCTGTGCCATGTTGTAGCATTAATATGCTTTGGCAATTTACTTTTCTTGGTTGTCTGCTTTGAAAAGAAGTCAAATAAAAATATATTTTGAGTTTTGTGCATCACAAATTCAACTACTACGCACAGGGTACAGGTGGCATTGTTAAAAGCCAAGTACTAAATTTATACCTGTACTTGAAACTCCAGGGACCAGCATAATTCTGCATGTAGTTCTGTATCTTGATAGAAAATTTAAAAACTAAGAGCACATATTTATGATTGGTTTTATGTCTTCTATCCATTTTTAATCAAACACTCTGTGCCTAGACTCATATTCTTTTATTGCAAAGATCTCATGCTTCCAAACTTGCTCCTAAATAATTCATATCCATTAAAGTTGCTTCGTGAAGGTAAAATATGGAAGGATTATCCCCTAATGTATGCTTTTGGAACACAATAATGTCTAAATAGAAAACAATTGCATTAATTTTTTTTTTACCAGGTTCCAAAGCCCTGCAAATGTTTGCTGCAAGCATTCAGTTCAGCATTGAGAGCAGGCGAAGAGATCAAAGGCTGTTCAGGCCAGAGGGTGCCACAAACACAGAGATGTGGCTGCAAACACACCTGCCATCCCTAAAAGTAGCCGCTTATAGTAAACTGGCTGTGCTGATGAACTTGCTAACGCAGCGAACCCTAATGCAGGCTAGGGAGGAGAACTGCACGCTGCATCAGTTTGTGCCCCAAATAATACTGGGGAAGGTGTTTTTAGTCAGGCGTGGTGAGAGGTTTGGCTCTGTGAGGCCACCTCTCAGTTGTGTGACCTGCTTTCAAAGGGGCCGATGTCCGCAGGAAAGGTCTGTGCTGACTGAAGGTCCACGGTAGCGCCGATGGGACCCACCTCGTGTTGTCCCTCCTGGGCTTCATCCCCAGGCACTAGCACAGGCGGGCTCGTGCAGAACATTTTGAATACTTAGGATAGCATGACTCACGTCAAGCCCACTAGGCTCAACTACCCTTTGTGATGGTAACCTGACTTGAAATCTGCAGCAGGAAAAAATGGTATTGTCTTGTTTACCGAGGCACAATGATCTGCTTTGCGGGGCAACAGCAGTGAGCATCGTGCTTAAACTCACAGATAAGAAAGGGATGTTGCAGGCAGAGATTATTAGTTGCTGCAGAGCATACAAATACTTTGACATTGCAAACTACTACTAAAGGCAGGTAGTTTTCCTTGTTAGTTGCTAGACAATTTAAGAGACACATTTTGTTTATTCTCACAAATCTTTTGGAAGATATGGTGCTTTCAGATTACTTTCTTTTTTAATGTGCACACTGGGAAGCATACATCTTGTTAAAAATAAGATTGCAGTGACTCTAGTATGTCAAAGGACTAAATCAACATGGTACCATAGAGAAACCGAAAACCTAATGTAGGCTAAATGTGAATTTGTAAAATGGAAACAGCTAGATAATTCAAAGCAGCAATATCAGTTTCTGTGTGGTTTGTTCATCTCCTGGCCAGACTTGTTTCATAGGGTTGAGGTTTCTATTAAAAGAAGAAAAAGCAGAAGATGATGACAAAAGAAAAAAGTCACAGTTCTACTGTCTCTCTAGCTGTTTCAAATCAGTTTTTTTCCCCTCAACTTTCCCCTCCAGGTTACAGAACCTCCTTCAAGACTGAGTAAAGACCTGGCTGAAGATGGCAGTTGCAAGCATAGTGAGTATACAGCTACACTGCTGTGTAATCTCAATTTTTCTTTCCCTTCTCTTTGCCTCCATCAGTTTTCTGCCTCTCTCGAGCCAATGGTGCCGTCCCACCATAGCAGTAACACAAAGCCTTCTTCCCCACTGCTTTCCAGGTTGGGAATTTTGCATTTTGTTGTGTATTTGAAGCTTCCAAGCCAACAGTGTTTTGAATGATCTGACAGAGATAATGCTCTCACCACCTGCCATTTTAATAACCGAAGTTGGCTAGAGGTTGTGAACAGCTCTTTTGTAAAGAGGTTCTTACTCAATGGGTCATTTTTAGAAGTCTGCTGTGCCACATACTTCAGTCTGAAACGTGCTGTATTTTGCTGGCAGCTTTTGTGTTTTCCCATCTGAAATGGAGTATCTTGGGGATCTTCAACTGCATCTGGTGGACAGGGGCAAATTTATGCTTTACTGAACCACCTCTCAACACAAATTTACCTGATGACCCATTGCAGGTCACCCACCCTGGGAAGCCCAGCCTGGATTACTACAGGAATGACAGCGCAGTGCTGTCCCTGTATGGAAACGCGGTGAACGACACAGACTTCATGTGCGACAAGAGGCAGGTCAGGCAGTTCACACGAGCCTTCCTGCCATTTTTTTTCTGGCTCATCTTCTTTGTGGGCACAGTAGGAAATGCCTTGGTCGTGCTTGTCTATTGCAAATACCGCTTCAGGAGGAGCATGATGGATCGGTACCTGCTGCACCTGGCCATTGCGGACTTGCTCCTCCTCTTCACCCTCCCCTTCTGGGCCAAGGCTGCCTCTGACGGATGGATCTTCAAGAGCTTCATGTGCAAAGCTGTCAACAGTATGTACAAGATCAACTTCTATGGCTGCAGCTTGTTTCTAACCTGCATCAGCTTTGACAGATACATCAGTATTGTCCAGTCAATGAAAGCTAAAACTTCTAAGCGAAGGCAGCTCCTGCGCAGCAAACTCATGTGCTTGGCTGTCTGGCTGACATCTGTGGGCCTGTGCATCCCAGAAATCACGTACAGCCAAAGCATACAGGTAGGCGACATTACAGTTTGCAAAATTATGTACCCGCCAAACGTCAGCACGATCTTCAGAGTTACTGTCCTGGCCTTGAAAGTCACAATCGGATTCTTCCTCCCGCTCCTTGTCATGGTTATTTGTTACACCCTTATCATCAACACCCTCCTGCAAGCCAAAAGGTCCCAAAAGCAGAAGTCACTGAAGATCATCACCATGATCATCACTGCTTTCCTCCTCTCTCAGTTCCCGTACAATATTGTTTTGCTGGTCAAAGCCATCAACACCTATGCCCGTGCGGCGTACAGCTGTCAGGCTGCCAACCGGCTGGACATCGGGCTGCAGGTCACCCAGAGCATTGCCTTTTTTTTTCCTCTATGTCTTGGCTGGGTAGCGTTTCAGGGCAGCGCTGGGCAGGATGATGCAGAGCAGCGGCTGCTGCCGGAGCGGGGCCCGAGAGCAGTGCTCCTCCGCCTGCGACAGCCAGGAGCACAGCTCAAACTGGTCCTTCGCCTTGCTGGGCAGGCGGCGGGTGAGGAGCTCCCTGACACTCAGCACCCACTTGACCTCCTCTGTTATGCCCCCACCTTGCCAAGTCCTCTTGTAAGTTAGTCCCCTCTCTTTCCCCTCCAGAGGAGCACCAAACTCTTTGGGAACCATATGTAATTCCCCAAAGACTGTCTCGGAGAAGCAGGGAGGGCTGGGGGCTCTTTGTGGGCCCCATCCTCGCTGTGTGGACCCAACCTAGGCTTGCTGGCTGAAAGGAAGAGAAACCTTCAGCACAAGGGAGGAAAATGGAGCCGTACTTCTTGTAAGCAGAACAGCTAGAGGATAAAAACTATCTTTGTGACAGCTGTAAAACCCGGCCCATCTGCAGCTCAGACCACAGCCTGAAATAACAAGCCTTGCAGGGAGGTGATAAGCCCAGCTACGGTAGCAACAGAGGAAGCGGAATGAACTGCCCATCCCGTCCAAAGGAAGCAGGAGGGGGTTCAGCCTTCGTTTGCTGTGCAGCCAGGGTCGCCTCCAGAGGCTGCTGGACTCGGGAGCCCTGCCAGCATCCTCTGCTGTAAAGGAGAACAGTCTTTAGCTCCTACACTGATTTGTTGCAGCAGTCAAGTGCTACTCTCCATGCTTATGCAGATGTAAAGCTGTTTTGCTGCACGCATTGTTCTTCTTGCAAAGGAAAGCTGATCATTTGTGTTCATAAAGTGATCATTACAGAATTAGATCTACCCTTCTATATTTTAGCTGCACGGTGTATGGTGAAATTGAGTACAACTTATTTGCTACGGCTCCTGTTTTGATACTGGCATTTTGTGCTGTTTCCTGTATTGACAAATCACACCTTGCAATAAAAATTCAAGGGTGTCAGAGATGCTGAGTTTTCTGTCCCAGAGATACTTCTTGTGTGGTACAAAGCCGTAGTAAATCAGAATGCAAAAACCAAATCCATGGTTCCACAGACCGCCGGTTATGTGCGATCTTTGCTAACGGTGAAAAAATATATTTAGCCTGCAGCCAGTAAGACAGAGAGTAATTAAGTGTCAAACGTAACGTTAATGAAATTTGGATTGAGACTTCAGATTGGTGGAGGCAGCAGGTCTCAAAAGCGCTGTGCTGTAATGCACCCTGCAACTTCTGTAGGGCTTTTGGCATGCCTGTCTTGGTGCCATAATGGGGCCCGAGGCCGCAGGTCACTGCGTGGCCATTCCCCCTCGCCCTCCCAGGGACGTGGCATTGCCTGTCCTGCCCAGCCACCGTCTGCACCTCCCAGTCTTCAACTGCAAGCTGCAATGCTCAGGGGCCTTTGTTTTAAATAATCACATTCAACCCAGTATGCCTCCTGGTAATTATTTCTTGCAGGAAGAAAGTGTTTTCTTTGTGCATTAATCATTAAAGCGTGTCAATAAACATGAGCTTTCTGCAAGGATTAGCGCTGCTTTTCTAGCTACTAGGGTACATCTGAGCAGATGGGGTGCTAGTTACATATACGTTTATTAGGATTTTTAATTTTTTTTTTCCTTAGGGGAAAAAATGGTGAAAGATGTATGTGGT